AAAAATATATTTCTCGAATATTATAATTATGCTAAGAGGAATAATAATAATTGTGTTATTTTTATTATGCAGTATTGTAATATTTAATTTGTCTGATTGTTTATAAATTATAACACGGAAGGCAGTATAATCTAAAATTTAAAAACAAAATCATGCTTCTGAGATATTAATTCTTGAAATTATTTTTAAATAATACAATTTTTAAAATAAATTATGTCAGCACACCATTTTTATCTCTCTGACTCACTCGTAACATATCTAATTTACGTTTAGCAGAAACAATCCTGTGTTAACTTAGTTAACAACATTACCTGTGTCCCTACGTTGGATTTTTTACGATATTTATATATTTATGGAATTTATAAGCATTTATAAATTTTAATAATTTACACGGATGACACTACTTCATAACTTACATAAAATAGCCAACGTAGCGACACATGCCATTTTGTTAACTAAAATTTGTTTGATAATATGTAAATTCACTCTTGTAATAAATATAACAACATATATTATAGCCGCATATAGGGTTGGTTCTACTGAACGTAAATTTGGTAGGAGTCAGAGAGAGAAAACAAATAGGTAGTTCAATAGTTGGCTGACATCCTCTTAAACAGCGGAGCCTTAGTATTTTTGGCGTTTACGATGAAATAGATACCTACGTCTTCCGTATGTATGGGGGAGGAGGATACGTGACAAGTGGCGTACGCACAAAGGTGAAACGATATGACATACGAGTCGACTCAATTATTATTATAGTATGGGAACGATTATAAATTAAAACATTATAATAAACATATATAAAAGCCAGCTATCGTCGGCTGATCACGCAAATTGTGTGTGTGTTTTTTTAAACCTATTATAATAACGCATAGGTAGATTATGCATTTTAATACGACCAGCACTACAGCACCCACGACGATATAGACATAATAATATAGTATATTTTTTAAGTATAGCGATATTATAAGTATACACGTTACACGAAGAAGTATTCGATTTCCGTAAAGTAGACGATAGGTATAGGTTTCTCCGCGATAGATCGATGACGACGACGACGCGTATTAAGTGTCTTTACCTGTATCGTATTTTATTTACGTTTTGTCGCTTCGATTCACGTTCTGCTGCTGTAGTAGTCGTCGACACTCACAACCACAATATTAATGGGGTAAAACACAAACGTTTAATTGAGAGAAAAAAAACCATTTAAGTTCGATTTATATAGTCGGACTAGTATTCCAGTAACCTCTTTTCGCGTGACGGTTTTATCGACGGATTATGTGAGCCGTGCATCTGTATCTGTGTTTTTTTTTACATACGAATGTAGGTAGTCAGCGAATATGTCGCGGCTTACCGTAAGTGACAATTAGCGATTCCGGTTTTGCGATTTAACCATTTGTATTTTTTACGCGCATTTCACGCACACGCACACACACCAGATCACGATTACACGAAAATGTAATAATACCTAACCTAACCTATAGTATTGTACCTATATTGATAATGCACACTTGTTAGGCATGAGTACTTTAAATAGTATTCGTCTTGCGCATCTGTTTTGCCTCCAGGGATCCCTGCTTAAAACGACCGCCGTTGGAAAGAGAAATAATATCAACTTGAGAATATTAATACCGTCTGTATAATACGTAGGTATATATTATGCGACGCACAGAACTCATCAACATATACCCATATACGATGTACCAATCTTTAGGTCATAAAAAATATATATATTACCGACGGCCAAGGTCCGCATACAGCACGCGTTAATATATTGTTATCCTCACGGTCGTTTAGTTGCACGAATAGGTATAATTTCATAATACTCGTTTAAGATTGATGATATTATATTTATACTGGACAGCTAGTAGACTCTGTAGAGCAACTAAGTTAGAGACACTATTATAATATGCCACTGCAGTAAATGTCCATTTGTTTTTACCGTGTTTACCATCTATCATCGAAAACGTATTTCTGCGTCACTACACTGCTCACTACTGTAAGTTGAATTGACATTATTATTATACACCCGATTAAGTTTTCTAATGCTATAAACGTCCTGCGTTTATATATATATATATATATATATATAAATAAAAGAATTTATATATATATATATATAAATAAAGAAGCGTAATTTCTACGCTGTTAATATTATATTATTTTATTGTTGGCAAAAGTAATTGTGCATATAATGCTGTATAATAATATTATTATCGTATTTTAAACTTGAACAATCTCCAGCAAACGTCTTCATTCGATGGCGCGGCTTTAAACTGCACGCAGTGAAAGTAGTCGGCTATAACTTTCCGACATAAACTGCAGCAGCCTACCGCGCGCGGTTAAGTCTCACACTATTTTAATATGATAATTCGTGAAATCGCATCACAATCGTGTTTTAAATGATTTAACATCGGTTACAGAAACACGTGTTTCCGTTGAAGTCATCAATACAGATTATTGGCAGATTCGTCTATTAGGTGCTCGGTGTATATAATTGGCATAATACTAATATACTATAATACCTAACCGATTATGTTCGACAGAGACATAACTATACGTAATATTACTACATTTTAATATAAAGTGGAATCCGAGCTTCGTACCGGTATACGGATTCTTATGGTTACGAATACAATTCATACAGGCGTACAGCTCGATCGATATTAATCGATAAATTAGTAGGTATTATATTATTACAATAATATTATGCAATGTATGCGCCATGTGTGTCTTCTGTATTTTTACTCACCACGTTGTCTATTTGAGTACATTTTACTGTTATATTAATTATTATGTTAAACACATTTTTTTATGAATGCTATGGCCACTTTATATATAGATACTAAACATCTAAACTTTTAAAGCTTCCAGAGTATATTTTTAAAAATAAAGACGCTGGAACCTAGAGCATATTTTCTAGTTCATCTTTCTGACCCAAACCTAAGAATGCTAAGCCTGTTTTTTAAGACACATTTTGTTCGGTCGTTTCGTGCCGAACGTGTCATGAATCTTAATTGTTTTCCTACATACCTAACGTCTAGGTACGTTGTACATAAAATATTTAATATGCTCTACCCAAAATAATATGTTCATCATGGACTCATTATTCCTAGAATATTTCGATATTCGCTAATTTAAAATACAAATCAAAAACGCGTTTGAAACGTGTGATAAGAATAATCCAATCAAGTTTGAAGACAAATCGACTATTGCTGTACTTATCTATTGTTTACAAACCAACTAATAAAAATAACTTGCACGACGGTGAACACTGAACACCGGTCGTCATCAGGCGAACCACAATATTATAATAATTTTAGATTACAACTACAACAGTCAACAGCCACAACAAAATGTCAGAAATTCACGATTAAATGAACGAATTATTGCAAGTCACAACTCAAGTTAACTAATATATAATATGATTGGTAGACTAATGGAAAAATACCCGTAAAAATAGTAAATACAGCAGTTATGCAGTAAGTATGTATTATTATTTATTTACAAAATATATAGTTACGTCGGTTTTTTAACTAAAATATGTTATTAAAAAAATTAGCAGTACTCTCTTCGTATATTAGGCTTAATATCATAATAACGAAGAAAACATTAATAGTCGTTTCCTAAATAGGATTTAGTAAAACAGAAAGTATTTCGATAGAAATTAATGCTGTATGTCAGTCTAACTTATAATTATTATTGTTTGCAGAATAAAACAGTTTTGTTTCCACACACTATACCACAGTATTTTTTCGGGTATTTAACACGTGATGGTTGGCATTACATTAGGTATATACTTTGTTATGGTTTTGATTCGTTTAAGTAATTTATAGTAGGCACCTACACTAGCTAAATAACAATTATAAAACAATTAGGTATTCATTGTAAATAAAATAATTATGTTTATACTTCATCTCAAATTCGTTTGGTACAAATAAAGAAAAAGTAAGTACTTGTGCAGTTGAAACAATTACTACCTTAGTACTATAGTACTTAATACTTACCTCGTAAGTCGTAGTCATATTAAAAATTAAAATTTGCGCTTCATAATCTTTAAACATTTCCGATTTATATCAATCATGTTGCTAATTATTATAATAAGTTGTTTTTCGGATAATAATCGAAGCATTATAATATTTTAATAATTTCCTTATGTTAATTATGTGTTATTGCTTCATTATATAACCGCGGTAGGTATAGACGAAATTGATAAAAATATACAAAATATTATAAATTAAACTGCAGTAAGAAATCATAACATTCTAAGCACATAGCCTCGCTGGCTGTGAGTGGCACTCAGCATGCTTAGTAAAGAAAAATAAATTTATATTTAATTGTTGTCATTAGGGTATTGAATATTGAGAACATTAAGTATCAAAACACACATATCATGAGTAAATTAATTGAAATACCTATCTAATAATCAAAAATAAAATATTATTAGATAATATCCTTCACTTATCACATTTAATCACTACTAAATTATCATCGTTGGATTATAGTTGCTTATCTGAATTATTATTACAACCAACGATGGCTATTTTTCATTATAATTATTAATTACCGCTTAGTTAACACAGGATTCGTTTCCAGTATGAATTATAGTTTCCAGAATTCGTTTCCAGTTTATTCTGCGATTCATGTTTATTCTATAATATTATGAGGCTCTATGGACTATGGCACATGCGTCCATTTTCAGCTAATTCGCGCCAAAATTACTAGATATTAAAACTCTTCCCCTACATTGATCTAATAGACAAGTGCTGGGTTGCGTAAACAATTTTATTAGATTTAATAGTTCACTAAAAATTCTATGGACCAATCGTGGGCCACTAAATGTTGTTTAAGGGACCATTAACGATCACTAGCGATTCATTAAATTGTCTGTGCAACCCGGCATAATAATCGGACTTGGATTGTCTCAGTGACAAAATCTCTTGTAGATAATCAAATGCACTGACTACGTAATAATATTATACACGTAAATAGTATCTAACCTGTCAGTATTTCGTTTCTTCCGATATTGTAGGCCATGGCGAAGGGTCGTCGTAGATTTCGCTGTATGGGTGTATGTCAGGGGAAAACACGACGCTTTTCAGCCTTCCATCATCGGAGAGATGGGTAAATCGCACGCGTCTCGAGTTATGCAGTAAGCGTCAAATATTATTCAAAAACGGGTGTAATAAATTACGGAACAAAAATCACAAAAAAAAAAATTCAGAAAAGAAAAACGGTTTCGGCGAGATAACGCGAGCGCACACACAACACACGCGACCGACGGACAAACGCTACTCACAACAGTCACAGCGATACTGTGTCGCCGTCTCTACGACAGTCGTACAGAAGCGCTGGGCCCGCGTGTTTCTTTTCGCCGGCTTTCAATTTTTTTTCAACCTCCCACCGATCAGACGCGACAACACGACCGACGGCGTTGTCATGTTATAATAATAATAATAATAATATTATTATGTGCACACGACGGCCTGGCCACGAGTGGTAGCCGAGACGATATGATATTGTGTGCGCTACCTCCCCGTGCGGTAGGCAATAATACGTGTACAGTACACACCCCGCAGGATGTAGCTACGGGATACTTGTTGCTTATAATCGTCAAAAACTCAATCAATTCTCAACAGATATCGCTATATCAGCTGTATAATGTGTGTGTACTTCCAAGTCCTTTGAATTTATACTGCCTACTTTAGTCTTGGAGTAGGTACCTTTGATTTATTTTTTCTTTTACGCACTATACGCACTTTGTACTACAACACTTAACACTATTATAATTTATACTACCCTATATTATTTAACACATCGATATTTTGAAAATGTCTGCTTATGTTAAAGTTGTATTCTTTACGATACTGAAATAAAAGCATGTTATTTTACATGTACGTTCATATATTAATATGGGTACTTGGCTTATCTGTACGATTTAAATTAAATAAATCTAAACCAATTGTATGTTTGCATAGATCAACATTTTGTGGAAAAGTTTTACACTTGTGAGTTTGGAATAAATAGTATACTAGTATACCTATAAATTTTAATTTAAAAATTAAAAAACTTAAAATCACGATTTCGAAAATTCTAAAAGTTTGATTTTTTTTCATCAAAATATATTATAAGTAGGTAGGTAGTAAATACTTCAATAATTTAATAAAAACAATTTAAAAATAGTACCTATCTCTAATGTCTTGTAAGAATACAAAACCCCTTCAACAAAGACGATACCTAATATCGTGTTTAAAAGTAAAATAATATTTAATGACGGATTTCAGCTCTACTGCCCCAGCAATTTACTGGTCACGGGTATTAAACTTACTGTCCACACTCAACACTGAGGACTTCGAAAACGACAATCGTATATTTTTACATGTAAACATGTGTAGTATGATTACGAAGTGATACCCGCATGTGCTGTCTCCGTCTTACAAGTGCATAACATAGCAAATTTTACTCATAGGTACTATAATGTGTACTTTGGTATATTAGCATTGAGTAAGGATGGTAAATCTATACACAATGATATTAGACAATCTTATAGTGTCATAGTGTCAGTGTGGACTATGAAGTGATGATATAAACAACTTTTGGAAAACTTGAACGTATTTATACCTGCGTAAATAATAAATATGTACAACCCTAGGGCGTAGAATAACTTTTTGTTAAAAGCTAAAATAAATAATACATTTTTAAATTAATATTTCATATTATTTTCATTCTTGTACCGCGTGTTAAAATAAGGTATTAAATCATGTATAATTACTTACTTTTCACATTTAAAATGTTTACTAATTTGAGAATTTTACTGTATTTAGATGATTATTTGGGCAGATAGTATATTTAAAGAGGTTGTGGTTATATTATTACGCTATAAACTAGGTGCTTACCTAAAATGCCTTGTATTGTAACATTTATATAATATATAATATACATTAAATTACATTAGGTAAAAGTCAACCACAAATCACAATGAACCTAACCAACTAATAAGTAATAACTATAGTATTTCATTGTATGATAAATATACATTGCGGTACTACATACTTATTAGTTATTATCTATATAATCTTCGAAGATCAATAATGTATTAATGTTTAATGTATAATAATATGTATTATGATTTATGTTAGGTATATTAATTATTAACAAACGTCTCGTCACGGCGCGTGACGCAATTATTTTACTGAGATTTTATTTGCATTTCATAAATCTATACCTATTCAACTTTTAATATTAACTAGTTGCCACGTTAAGGTACCTACCTATTATTATTTATATACAACCAATGTTCAATGCCATTTCCATTTACCTACTAACTTTTTAAGTAAAAAACAAAATTACTTTCGAATTTCGATTCACAATGGTTATATTTTCACACTAGAACTCGCAACCCTGTAGTGGTGTAGGTTCGGAGGGGGCCATTTAGATGCAAGTATCAGCCTACTGATTTTTTTAATTTAATTTTAGACCACAATAGTGTACCAAAATATTAAGTACAATTCTTATGTGTATTAACTTATTAATAATTATGGGTGCGCTAGTACCTACAGAGTACAGACTATAATATAGTACATAATTGATAATAAACAATAATTATTATAACACACGTATGCTAATATGATATATTTTAAACATCGACACGTCGTCTACAATAATTTTTAAAAATGCATGTCTATAATGTCAAGACGTGCTACGCATCACTGTGACATGTTTCCACGCTTCTTGGAATGCTTGTATATTATCTCAGATATATCAAAAGTTTAGAGATTAAGAGTAATATTCGTCTGAAGAATTCCACCAATGAATGCAACAAAATAGAAAAGTGGTACCAAAAAAAAACTTAGATATTGATTTTACTAAATTACCAAGGACACAAAGAAATTTATCAATAGAAATATTATGAATTCATTTCATTTGTGGATAATTTTTTGGCACAGCTAAAAGATTGATTTTTAAAACTCCACTATGATAAATAAAAAGTTTTCACTGCGTTTTTTGACAGGACATATGACCACCCCCACTAGTTTTGTCTATGACTTCCAGTTACTACAGCAGTACAGCATCTAATAAGCGTTCTTTTCATCGTTTAAAGTGTTTAAACTTTAAACATTTAAAAATATACATAAGAAATACAACTGGACGGTCGAGATTAAATTGACTAGAAGTTAGAACTGACGAATATATACATAGAGATTAGATACATATGTACCAAAACCTCCGAAGAAGTCATAAACGAGCTCTTCACAAAATCAAGAACAATGAATTTTCATCTTGTTTGATTTAGTTTTAAATATTGTTTTTTTTTTTTTAATTTTTTATAACAGATATTTAACACTCCACAAAGAATATAATAAAAAAGTTTTAAGTTTTTCAAATTGGTTTGTAATGTATGATATTATGTTATAATATTGTTAACCGCAGTACGCTTAAATTAATTACATCCTAAATTCCATTGAAAATATCTGTGTACGGCGTAGGTCACTGCAACCATGCAGTGCGTTAGCTGCATAATATACATTTACAGATCGTAAAATTAAGATCACTCGGCGTCATATATAGGCAACTTAGCAACTACATAGGCGAAGGGGGGATGCCGGGTATGCCATGGCATCCCCTGCAGAGTTATCATAACCATATAGTTTTTAGTTGTAAATGATTTGATTATAAATTAAAATCATGAACTAAGATATAGTTCATAGTATCTTAGTTCAAGAATTTAAATGTTTTTATATTTATTATATCAATATATTAAATATTTATGATATTTGTTATTTTTTTATATAATTTTCTTACAATAAAATATTGGGAGTGGAGATGAAATCAAATACTAATTAGATTTCATAATCACCACAGGTACCTATATAAATAATAAAATAGATTGCTAACTCATATTAATATAGCTGAAATCAAAATCTACCATTTTCGTGAGAATTGCAGGTTATATCACCAGCACATTCAGGCTCCTGCGGTATTGCTTATTTTCATACTATACCTACCTATACAACTATCAAAAATAAAAGAATTTCAATTAATTAGTTTATCATTATTATATTATTATAATATGATGAAATGTCTAAATTTTTTTATAAAGTTACTTTATTGGAATGAAATCACAGTACAAGCTTTTCAAATTAAAATATCTAAAACCAATAAATACCTAAGCTACATAAAATGCATGTTACTTTCTTTTCACATTACGCCATTTGCTATTACCTATATCGTAAGTTATTTGTACCTATTACCTAAGAATTTTCGGGGAGTTATTTTTTGTTTTGAGCTAGGATTTAGGAATGTTTAAAAATACCGGCATACCTGCGAAAAAAGTCTGAGCACGCCTATGGGCAACTATACTCTGTTCCAAAAGAGAACGGTCACTTTTCGAGCATACAACTGACGGCTACGGCAGTGCAAAGGGCCAAACTTCCCCCCCTTGCTAGCCGACGTATCTCGAAGATGTTGAGTGTAGGTAGGGGAAGTTTGGCCTTTGCACTGCCCCAGCCTACAGTTGTATGAGCGAAAAGTGACATTTCTCTTTTTGAACGGAGTACGACGTCACTGGTGGTTAATTTTTCCGGTTGAAACAAAATAGTTATAATATATAACATGCGAAACAGCATGAGACACGACATTTGGTAACGTTGATCGGAACAAACGAGAACACACATCGATCATGACGTAAACAGTCATATACCTACCAGTGAAGTATATGCTGCAGGCTTAAGGGGTCGTACGGAATCCAAAGAATCAAAATAAATATGCAGCTCTGCCTGAAATCTGCGAGATAACCTGCTGAGCTCACACCAGAGCGGAGAGCTAGTGAATATATATTTAAAAAATTGCACATTCTAATGAATTAGAACCTTTCAAGAATTAAACTCTATAAACTCAAAAGCTAAACCGTGCGGCAGCTTAAAATTTAAAAAAACCTGGTAACTTATATAGCCATAAAGGTACTGGTATAAATATTATATCAACGCTATCGGTGCAACACGATTGCGCACTTTTTACCTGAAAAAAACACAACACGA